ACACACACACACACACACACGCACACACAACCCGTGACAATATGCGTTTTGTAATGCTGTTACACAGCACAAAACGCATAAAAGAATTTTTAATGTACGTTTGGCGTGTGTTGCTCCGTGCACATATAGGTGTGTATGTGTGTGTGCGTTTTTCAGCCAATGGCGCCATCGAAGAAAGGTCCGAAGCAGGAGAAGAAGGCACGCGGAACGATGGTCGAAGTGGTCACCAGGGAGTACACCATCAATTTGCACAAACGAATACACGGCGTGTAAGTTTACAACCCCCCACCGGGGTTCGGGGGTGTTCACGGGCCATGCCACTGAGAGGTGTCTCTGTTTGCAGGGGTTTCAAGAAGCGTGCGCCACGTGCCATCAAGGAAGTGCGCAAATTCGCGGAGCAGCAGATGGGCACAAAGGATGTACGCGTCGATACACGTCTGAACAAGTTCCTGTGGTCCAGAGGCGTGAAGTAAGTGCAGTTGTTTGTGATTTCGTGAACTGCTGAGGAAATACATACAATGGATTGTTTCTTTTTCTCAGCCGTAAACAAAAATCTGTTACTAGCAAGCTGTGATCTCTGTTTGAGTGTGTGTATGTGTGTGTGCGTGTGTGTGTGTGCATGTATATATATGTATTTGTAAGTGTGTGTGTATAAATAGGCGGGTCCAGGGTGGTCTCCTGGGGAGGGGGGCGATTTTTCACCTCACCTTTTTCTTTTATCACCACACCCTCCCCTCCCTCTCTTCCCTCGGGCAGCTTCCAACCCACCCTTTGTTCGCCGCACTTCCTCCCCCTCCCTTCGAACGTCCCATTGCACCCCTCTCGAAGGCTCCTGGGAGAGGGGAGGGCGATAGAGGGTTTCAAGTAGACTTTTCTACAGTAAAATAACTGCTACTTAAGCCCCTGGCTGGAGGTGGAGAGGGGGGAGGGGTAGACGAATCCGCCAATGTATGTATGAGTGTGCGTATGCAAGTACATATGTGTGTGCGTGTGTATATCTGCGTGTGTATGTACGGAAAAATCAAACCCAAAACTGTGAAAACAAGGAAGTATAAGTTCTGAAATAGTGTTTCTGGCTGTGTGCGAAGCCGAAAGTCTGAGCTCACCTTCGATTTCCTGGCTTGTTTAGGCAAACTCGTGCAATTCAGGAAGAAAAGAATCAAAAAGTGTGATATTTTGGGTGTTTTAATGTATCGTGCAGTGCAAAGTGAAGAAGGAGAGGGAAGTGTTAAAACTCTAATTTGCCCTGGGCTCTATCTTCATGCCTGGATACTACTGCTAGTGCCATAACTGTTGAGCAGTTCTAACTAAAAATCTTTAATTTTGGTGTATTTTTCATAAAAATCGTTGTGAGGCGGCAAAAATTTTTCGGGCGGACTGATGCTTTCGACAATATCAGCTTACGGGGGAAACATACGGGAGCCCGCATCTTTAATTAGTTTGTATTAGTATATCACACAGTTTTTGGGCTTTCCACGACTAAACAGATTTCATTTCATTTGTCCACACATAGCACAGTCCCCCCTCCAGACTTTTTTATGTGGGAATTGAGCTTTTTTTGCTTTGGCAACAAATTTTCATGAATCAGAACCTGCTTTTTTCCCACAATGTTTGTTGTTAGTTTTCATTTTTCGAGGATTTCTATGATTTCGTCGCTTTTAAATGCGTTGCTGCTTCATTTTTAAGGCGAAAAAGATGAAGGCTGGGGCACCAAATCGTTGTATTTTTTCGCAGTAGCTATGTAACGCGTCGACGGGAATGCTGTCGAAGCTGTGGCATGGAATTTCGTGATTCTTATTCCCACAGCGGGAGCTGTTTTTAAATGTTTTGACAAAAGCACACAGTGCATTTCTTTGCTATAATCAAGAAAAAAATTTACATTTTTGTGCTTCTAGAAATGTGCCATTCCGTGTTCGAGTGCGCCTCTCACGACGGCGTAACGACGATGAAGACTCGCCACATCGCCTATACACACTAGTAACGCATGTGCCCGTGACAACGTTCAAGAAGCTCACAACAGTGAATGTGGACAGCGAAGAATAACATTATTATTACTACTATCGATAAAACCTCTTTTCTTTGTTGTGATTTTTGCAGAAGCATTAAAACACTGATTTGTTATTGTTTTGTCTAATGATAAATCTCTTTGTTACTGCATCAATGTGCATACTATCTTCCTCGAACTGTGTGCTACTGCAGGTTTAGCACTGTCCTTCATTCAGTGCCGGAAACAGTATGTACATGTATACGACTTAATGGACCGAAACATTCCCTGTCAGGCATTAAATTAAAATTTATTCGAGTACTGGTATACTATATTATTTTATCTATTACTGTTATGTTTTTCGCTATTACTTATCGTTATTCCTAAATTAATTTTTATCACTTATTCCCATAATTAATGTAAATATTCGTATTATATTTAACAGTTTATTTTAAATCATCGATAATATTATAATATTTATTTTTATTTGGTCGTTTTTAACAATCACGATACTAGTTTTTAAATCGCAAAATCATTATCAAAAATGATAATTGCGTGGTTCTGCGCTTGTAATTCTATTTAAATTTGAGCCGGCAGCATGCAGGGACCAAAGTTCCGGATGTAATTGTGTGAAATACGATGGAGACTGAGCTTGGTTTGAGTACCAGCGAAGCATTTTCACGACTGTGCAGCACGCTTGAGTCCGAAATTGCCAAAGAACGTGAACGTCTTTCTGTTGGGCGATTTGCACTCAGGTTTGTTCGACTGTTCTTCCTCACTGGACATCTGGACTTTTTTCGAGGATTTTGGCTCTTCCCAGTCATTAAAAATTTCAATTGGTTTCGAAGATTTTGGGTTTAAAGGGAAAGTTTATTAAAATGGCCTTATTTTTTCATGCTTTAACGTAAAAGCATTGTTCTCGATAGGTTTCTGGCACATGATGCGCTCACAACAGGAAGTTTCTGCCTTATATTTGCCATCGCTTTATGTATCTGTTCTGGCATACTGATTTTCGACGCCCTCTCCAGGTTTGTCATTTTTATGCTTTTTTATGACCTTTTTTTGCTGTCTACCCAGACAATTCCATTTCACTGCTAGAGAAATCATTTCTACAGTGAGAAGCACAGTTTTGAAGGCTTTGTTGAAGATTATCAATCTCATATCAGCTTTAAAGATTTTACAGCTTGCGAACAAGCATATCAACAAACCAAAAAGTTTGAGATCCGATTCGTCTCGTAGTGATATTAAAAGGCTTGGGGCTGTTTGTCACGTTCTGGCATCAGTCTAGTTTTTTGCTTCAAATACGGTGGGAGCTTATGTTATTCATCTAAGATTTTGAAACTATAGTTATCATTAACTGTTAGAAACATAATTCGGGATTTACTTCTTTTTCGACCAGCGACCAACATTTTCGAAACGAATCGAATTCACTAACACAGAGCCATACTACGGTTCCCAGTTGTTGAATCCGATTCGAGTTTATTTACTTTTCGTCTCTTTTTATTTTACTTTTTATTACTTTTTTATCCCTTTTTATTTTAATTTTTATTTTACTTTAATTTATTTTACTTTAAAATTTACTTTTTATTTTTGTCTATTAATTTATTTATTTGATTCTCCTCACTCATTTATTTAATTCATTTCATTTCCTTTTGCTGAAGGATGGTTTTAATCATTGTATTCTCTCAAAAAGTCATCGCAGATAAACACGGAGAGACAAATTGATTTCCAGAAACAGTTTTTGATCCAGCGCCGTTTGTGATACTGCTCTCTCGTTGTAATTATGCTGGCATGATGGTGGGACTAACTGTTTGTTGGAGCCTTTGCCTCATCTTGAAGTTTTTTCTTATTGGATGCAGAATTTTGTACTGGGAAAATTTCCGGTGACTAGAAGTGGACAGCCTTGGCGGAGTTCTACTCATTTTACTGTAAATAAAGCTAATAATAGTGAACCGGGAAAACCTGGTGAATAAAGTGCTCTTATTTTACAGAGGAATCTGATAGATGTGATGTTCTTGAATTGGCTTGTAAAAGGTATCATATTGCAATTGAGGCTAATGATGTAATTTAGGGAATGTGCGCTGCTCCACATCACTGCATCAATTTTGTTCCTAGCTATAACATTGGGTAATATTTATCTCTCATCGCGAGTGTACCACATGCAACGATTCGCGGCTGTTAACAAGGCAACAAATATATTAAATTCGTTGAAGTTGGCGAGTCAAGAGGAGTACGATTACGAGCATCTCTGTGCACCGAACTCCGATGCAATCTCGTTACAGTACACATACAGAGATCAGAAGGTTTTGTCCTTTGCAGTTTTTTCTGAATTTTTTTTGAGATTTCTTCACAGTTTTTTTTTTTTTTAAGTCTATGCTTGGGAAATGTATCAGGAAATGCCAAGAAGAAAGGGAAGAAAGAGGAAGAGGGAGTTTGATAAGAAATAGATAGAATAGAAGTATATGGGGAGCTGCAAACATGGATTTTCTGCGTCTTTGGTAAGAGCTCGGTCATTGAATACTTGTTAGGGGCATGATTAACATAGGATGGCTTAACAAGGTTAAGTAGTGATGATCGATAAAACACATCGGCCTCCTGGAACCTTTTCCCTCCTGTTTATTTTAAAAAAATTCATTCATTGACTGTAAGGATATGTCACAGAAGCGCCCTTCAGTTGAGCTTTGGAGTGTAAATTTTTAAGAAAGTTAACACTCTCATCTCCGAAAATGGGTACTGTTGATTGGGTAGATTTGATTCTGAATGCTGATATATTTTCCCGGTGTATTTACTCGGCAAAAAGTGGATTTATAGAAGCTGGTGTAATGGTACCAGTGTTTTTGTTTCAAATCGCGTCATGCATTTTTGAAATAATCGAATAATTTCCCAATTTTAAGTTAATTCGAATATTTTAGAATTGAGCCAGAGATGAATGAATGTGAAAAACAGGCGGCACAAAAACAATCTAAAAATAATCCGGTGCTAAACTGTCCAGAATTTAGCCGCGCAAAAATGTATAGCCTGGAAAAAATCAACCCAGAATTGCTGGTTATTGGATGATACAGGGGCAGGTACCCGTGTCAAGTCTATATATGAAAATACACAACAGCGTAGCGCGGAACCTTTACTTCTTCTATTGGCGCTATGGGTTTTCGCCAGTCTACTACTCCAATCAGATTCCAACCGTCCGCGAGAAAGCTTCGTCAAGACTACTCTGGGATACGGAGCTAGCCAACTGGAACGCAGTATGATGAGTGCCTTGTGAAGTGAATTGAAGAAGCAAATTTTAGCTGGTTAATGTGCCCTGCTTGCTTTTGGTGGAAGGTGATGTGATTGAGCTTCGCGCCGGCCAACTTGCTCCTTCGCGATGTATCAGTGAACAGGGCGAATTCATTGATTTGGGTGATATGCCGCAGTATCCACAAATGATATGTCCGGAAACTCATGGTGTCTGTTTTTGACTCATTTCATTTAGTTTTTTGATGGGCACACAGTTTCTCAGTCGATCAGTTGAAAGCTTTTACTTATCATTTTATTTAACTGAATCAGTTGAATCAGTACATGCAATGTCAAAGCGTTGCTCCTACTGTTTAGTCGGGAACTCGTCGCCAGACTTTTTGGAAAAATACTCTTGGTAAGCTTGGTTGGTAGACCGAATTGATTTGTTTGAACGCACAAAAAAACCCACGTTGTCTTCATCTTGCTTCTCGGACAACCGTTTAAAAACAATGTCAGAGGCAGTCTAATTTATCAGACGATTCATCTGCCTGTTTGCATGCTTGAGTCGCAGTCGACTACATTAAACTGATTGTAACATACGAATAGATGCCAGGAGCTTAGGGGGCGAAAGTATGGGACGAACTAAGTATGAATGAATATGAAAATAGTGAATTAAGACGTTTCGGTTTATTAAGTGATATACATCTTAGCTCAAAGCCACGACTGCACCTCGTCAGTATGACGGTCGTGGTGTTCAGGGAGGAGAAAAAGAGACGAAGAGAAGGAAGATAAAATAAGAAAAGGAAGATAAAAAAGGGGAGAATGAAAAGGAAATAAAAATGGGGAGGGAAGAGAAGGGGAGTGGAAAAAAGGAAGAAGAATGTTAGGTATTGGATTGCGGCAAGCGTGGATAAGATGTAGCAGAATTTGATAAGAGGATTAGAATAAGAGGGACTGTAGAGATAGTATGTAAGGTGACTTTTCTTCGCAAATGATTTTAAGTTCCATGTAGAAGGATGGGAATTTTGTTGATAGCGGCTGAATGCTGTTTTTTTAAAGTTCGTATTTCGATTATTGCGGGGTGCAGTTCATCTTGTTCTGTTTTCTGCATCATTCACTTAATCAAAGTCTGTCCCACCTTTCATATCAGATCTTAATCTCGCTTTTATTTTGATATGTTTAAAAATTCCAGGTAATACCATTGAAGTCAACAAAATGGAAAGTTGTGGAGTCGCCGCTAGTTGAGCATATACGTATAGCGTTCGATAGCAGTCAGAAGAGACGGTCAAATCTGTTAAATAGTGAAATCACAACAACCCTTCACTTTTCTTTGGAACGATGCCTTTTTCCAGTCTTATTCGTTTTGCTCTTTGGGATGTTCTGCTTCCGGTAATTCTTGTTGCGCATCACTTCCATTTTAGAGCCGTAATCGTTTACTTAAAAATCAAGTAATAGGATTACCAAAGAATACCTTGTGGCACGGCCACCTGTCGTTCTCTCTTAGAAGATTTCTGCTGGAAATACACTGAAAATTTTTTGAATCTTTGATATTCTAATGTACGCAAGTAACAGCGTACTATCAAAATGAGCTTTTTGGGATTGGTTTTCTCAGGAACCATTTTATAAAGGTTTTTTTTAATCCCTATTTTCCTTCCTAGGATGCGTGCTCGTTACACTGAAATGCCTACAGAAGCAAGAGCATTGGCACGACTTAGTCCTGGTACTTCCCGTCTTACACTCATCTATTCAAAAATTACATTTTCAGCTGAAATCATCGTTTCATTTGAAGAATTTTGCACTATTTCGATTTTCGCTTCAATTATTGTACAAATCGAAAAATTTTAGAATTGATTAGTTAGTGTTAGATGTGCTGATGCATAAAATTTTTGTTTTTATGAATAGACTTTTCTCCACACAGTTTAATTTCTCTCTTTCAAGGACTGTCAAAGTATATGAAAATATGTTTTTGTTTGTTGTATTACAGGTACTTTTTCGCAGTTAAACGAGAGAGCGTAGCGGATTTTTTGTTGAATGCAGCGATGATTTTCATACCTCTTTTGGGCCCAATGATTCCCCTATACTGTTTATTCGGAAAGTTATGGTAATTTTCTAGTTCCATTTCGTTGATTTAATCGTTTTTCTTTATGGAGTAATTTTACAATGTCTGTAATGTTCACTGTTAAGAATTTTGGAAATGTTATATATATATATTTTTTTGAGGAATTTGGGATTCGTGTTGGGCGAGCGCTGCAAGCTGCCGCATTTTGTTCCCAACTCAAATGCTGTCTCAAATCGTATATTTGTTGAAAAGGTTGAAAAAAGGTCAGCCTTCGATGGATTCAGGGCATTTTATCAATATTTTACAGGTGCGTGATCGTTTCATATCAAGCATTTTCAGTGAAAATTGAGATTTGCGTCTCAGAAGTTTAACCAGGTTGATGATTTTTATGATCTGCTTGTGCGCGACTGAGCAAAAATTATAAATAAACATGGTTGAATTCACAAAAAATTCAGCTGTTGTCGTTTTCCAGGTACCATTCAT